CTCTCTCTCTCTCTCTCTCTCTCTAGCTCCTTTTTGCGTGGCGTGCAACACAAATCTCACAGTTCGGCACATCCTAATGGAATGTGTCGACTTTAATTATGTCCGTGATAAGTATTTTAAATGTAAAGATATTAAAACCCTTTTTGACATTATAGAACCTAGAAGAATTTTAAGTTTTATAAAAGAAATTGGACTGTTTAATAGAATGTGAAAATATATAGTTGCCGTATATACATATATGCAGACAGACACACACTTTCTCTCTCTCTCTCTCTCTCTCTCTCTCTCTCTCTCTCTCTCTCTCTCCTCTCTCTCTCTCTCCTTTCTCTTGGGCCGTTGGTTAGCGGGAGGTCAAGCGAATCGTATATTTTATCCTAACTCTTATCATGTTTCGTATCAGATTGAACGCCACAAGAACGCCACAGAAATGACAGAGTGATCACCTGATGTAGCAGCCATGTTGGGTCAAGCTACAACCAAAGACAAGACGAGGAGTCTCTTCAACCTTCTTCTGTTCCTCAAAATGTATAAAGTGTGTACTTTTGTTTTATTTGAATCATAAGAAAAATAGACAAATACACTTTTTTTAAATACCTTAAAAGAGACAGCTTTACAACAAGTGTTTTCTACCAAAGTTGCAGTTTCGGCACTTATATGACCTTATCGTGTTGCCAAGTGCCGTAAAATTCTTACTAGAACTAAAGTCACTGCGTATGAATTAAGGTTACAAGGGTCATTCGGGTATTTAACTTGGTAGGTTACTACGTTGGTATAACGACGTTGGTATAACGACGTAAATGGCACACACATATATATACAACATCAGCTGCAAGAACAACATCTTCATCATCAACAACAGCAATAAAGATACAAAAAAGAAGCAACAAAAAAACTAGCGGCACATCTACATCATTATCGCCTAAGATGTAATAAAAGAAACCAACAATGACAGGGAACCAATGTGAGACAGCGTTGTGGAATTAGCTCTCGTCAATTTTTGGGCAGGTAGAGTTTATTGGTCTTATTTGAATATATATCCATTTATCTTGAATACAAGTCGAGATATTTGCGAATGAAGGAGGTGGGGGTCACCTGTTTTCAGAGGTAAAATTAATGAGAAAATGGCAGCCAAAGATTAGTTATTTCCTTAGCTTAATAGTCCGTAGTAAATGGAAATTTACATTTTTTGTTCCATTAATCAACGTTTTTAAGAAAAATCCTCACAGAAATGAGTTCTTAAATGTGCATGAAAGGTGTTGAGCCAATAAACAAAAATTTGATAAAAATTCACAAACCTGGGGAACAATGCAAGTTTCTTCACTTTGATTATTTTGACGAGAGCCTGATTCCACCGCGCTACCTCACCAATGGAATCATCTGGTGAGGAACAATAAATAGGAAACAGCAACATTGCTCTTTCATCAAGGCCTCCACACAGAACGCTGTCTTGAGCCTTTGCCTTGCAACCTTATATCAAACAACGGCAAATAAATATGTGCATTCTTCATCTTTATTTAGAGCGGAGATTACTACTGGGATGAGTAGATTAGCAACCCCTTTCTGGAGAACTATCCCAAACAATGCTACTTTGTTCTTAAATCTAATCCTTTTGAAATAGCCCCAACGTGAAATAACAGTACAAGAGAGTCTTAAAAAATACCCAATCTTATATTTAATCCGAAATGTGCATAATCTTTATCTTTCAATTGTGTAACAGTGCAACATATAGAATTTCAGAAATGACACGATGCCTGAACTTCCGCCGGATCATAGAAAGAGTGTGCAATTTGTAGACATCTCGTGGCGGAGCCGTGACATTTTGTCGTCTTTTTCCGACGATATGTTTGAGCACAAAGCTATGTTCAACTCACATCTAAAGTGGAATGAAATACCACTAACGGTTTCGTGTATAGACACCCAATATCAGCACTTGAGACAAAAGTAAGAAATAGAAGCCTTGACATTCGGCATACAACTGCATTAAATGGAAAACAGTAAAGGTAATTAATTAGTTTGGATTGTATGCAGCAGCTTCGCCGATGCAGCACCAGAACATAAAGATTTTTATCATCTTTCTCCATACAACAAGCATTGCTATCTTTCAGTCGCACTCGACAGATTATTTTGCGTTTTTATGTTTAGTCAGTGAGACATAAAGTTACCGAAAACGTTAATGTCTGATATAGTTTTTGCTTACTTCTTCAACTAAATGTAGAATGGACATATAATTGACGAACATTGAAACCTCAAAGGCAAACAAAATCTCGACACTGAACGGGATAAAAACCCAACCCAACCTGTACTGCCATTATGAAATAGAACAGGGAACCACTTTGTTTATTCAACATTCTTCTTTGTGAGCAGTGTAAATCGCTATCAACTTGTTTTCGAAAAGTCTAAGGGACTCTGATGACTGATACTTGATTTTGGATCAAACATTCGATAGTGAACAGAATTTGTACTTTGAGGAGTAACTTATCACACAGTTGTCACCAAATTTTGAGTACTTGCAGTACAAACACTTTTATTCTGCAACGGCGTTGTCATTCTTTTTACAACGTTGAGAACCAAAACCAACATAACTTTTGTAACTCAACATCGACATTTAACTTCAGAAATTGAGCTTTCGAAACGTTCGAATCTGCATTCGAAATCGAATCTGCATTCTAAATCGTCGTTCAACTTCAAAGATCTGTCGCAACTGCTCCGCAACGACTTGTTCAAGGATGGACAATACCACAGACAACTTCTCTTCCAATATCGTTCCGACAGAGCCGACAAAAGATCCGACGTCTCTCCCCGATTTTGTCGGCGAATCCGTGCCAGAACCTGTTCGGATTGGTTTCATCGTGCTGGCTGTTCTTCTTCTTGTCAGGTGAGCCAGTTTGGTCTCTTACTGTTTTTTTCCCTTCTTCGACCATTAGGTATGTCTACGCGTGTGTTGTGCTTTCGTATTTTAGTGTGCGTGTGTACCGTGTGTGTGTGAGTGGATGTGTATGATGTGTGTGTATGTGTGATTGTGTGTGCGTGTGTGTGTGTGTGTGTGTGTGTGTGTGTGTGTGTGTGTGTGTGTGTGAGTGTGAGTTTATGTGTGTGTGTGTGTGTTTGTGTGTGTGTGTTTGTGTGTGTGTGTGTATGTGTGTGTGTGTGTGCGCGCTCATTATTTTGACAACGTCTGTGCTAGTTCCTAGACTTTATTTTATCGTTGAGGGAGTTTGTCAATGTGATAAGGTTAATGGTGACCATAAACTCTGGAAAAACCTATACTGAGTAGCTATATCCAGTTTCAAATTTTACCATTGCGTAAGGAGATACAGAAACGTGAAACCCCGTTGAAATACATTAGCCAGATAGTAGAATTAGGCTGACCACGTTATTGCGATTTGCTTGTGTACTTCTATCATTATTCCTTTGTGCTATTATCGGTCGTCTACTTTGATAGAGGAAATGTCGAAAGACGTCATCATTTAGTTAACTGCAACTGCTATCATTATCAAAACCACAGTACTTGTTAGATGTCATGACAAATCAGTTCTGACGTAAGCACTTGCTATTGTCTTTGCGGACCACCACGAATACGTGGGAACCTCATAAAACGAAGCGCATTAGGAACCAGCGAGTTCTGTCTCGAGCAATGTGAAGAGCTGTATTGATTTGTTTAGACTTTCTGCGTCGTTCTGTACTCCCGCCAACTCTTTCGTTGCGTGTCTTGCTTCTCTCCCACGGGCGTATCCACAGATATTAGTATCTATGGCAGGGACGGAAATCCACTCCCCTCCCCCAATCCCCTCACTTTCCCCTCAAATCTTGGGGGAGTCAGAGTTTCATTGCCTTCCGATTTCAGTGGCAAAATAATAGGCCCAATGCACAGCAGAAAGAGATGCAACGCCTTCAAAGGAGAGATGCCTTGTAAATTACTAATGTCTGCAGTTTACATAATATGTACGACTTGTATCTTCTGTCTTTAAGAAAAACGTTTTGTCCCATTTGGCAATCTGCTTTTTTATTGTTTGTTTGAGTGAAGGGAAGCACATACAGTAACGATCATTTAGCGCTGGGGAAATGCAAGACACGCAAGGCAGAAAACAGCAGCGAGTGAGGGAAGAAGTGTGACCTACCAGTGCGCCCTCCACCCACCCACTAGTCATTTTCCTCTAAAAACGAAATCAAACGAGAGAAAAAAAAGTCTCTTGTGTTGTTAGCAAAAGAAATGAGAGAGATTACAAAAGATTAGTGACATGAGAAAACCAATATTTTCAGCTTTGATTTTAGAGCATTCGAGCTGGAAAATGAGAGGCAATTCAAGATCGCTGATGTCCGAATCAGATTCGGCACTTGAAGAAGTAGAAGGCACTTTGTTCAGTAATTCTACCTTGATGACACCTTTGTTTGCTATGGTTTTAATTGTGTTTCATTCTTGTGGCGGGACTGTTCACTCTCTGTTCTTGTGAAGGTACCGTAGCTCGTTTGCCGTTTTGACATCTTCTTATTTCATTGGTAGGAGAGTGTCTTTTTAAAAACTTTTTCTTTGTTTGAAGTTCTTAATTACTGCTAGAATTTTACGAAACTTGCGGCACAATTAGGTCATATAAGTGCCGGAGGTTAGAAGTGTTACTATAGTCCGGACAACACCAAATGGACAACTTATCGACCTCTTTACACCGAATCTAAGTAGCGAATCTCTCTGATTTTTTGCATGCACCTCTGAATTAAAAAAAAACCCTAAAAGATCTCAATTTTCGTGCATATGCGACAAAAATAAAGAGGTGCTGTCTATATAATCTTAAGTAATTAATTACTTATTAAACTCAGCACCGGGGGCTCTCGTGGCCTAGAGGTTAAGGTGTTGGCCTCTCATTCAAAGGTCCCGGGTTCGAATCCGGGTAGCGACCGAAAAATTTTCTTCTCTAAAATTGTCTCCTTTCTCCTCCTTTCCTGCTCTCAGGCAATGTTCTGTTGTCTGCTTTCATTTCCACTTTCTGCCCCCACCCCCTCACCTCCTTTGCCCCCCCCCCTCCTCAGGGCTCCTGACTCTTTCTGCACGTTAAAGATCCTTTGGTGGTCTAAAATCGATAAAAGTAGGCTTCGGCCGCCTCCCGTGCAAAATTTAAAATTCAAATTTTCCTACCAACTGAAAATATTGGTGTGCCCCGCGCGCTCATATGACCTTATGCAGTTGCGAGCGCCGTAAATCACTTTACAATAACAAACAAAAACTCAACACCGTACACTTTTTATAGCAAGCACGGTACTATGCTAGAACCATAACAAACATTACAGGGTGTCGTTGAAGGGGCTAAGCCTGGAATTCCAGGGGGGAGGGATACAGTTTGGTCAAACCCAAAACCGTGGGTCAACAGAGTGCTATATTTAAAGCGCTAATTGGCATGTCACCGCCCCCCCCCCCTCGTGCAGGTCCATAGGCAGAGCCCCCCCCCCTCCCTATACATACATGTCTTGTCCTTTTTTTTCGAGATTTGTTGTAGAATAAAAGAAACGGCTCGATCAGCTTCTTTGGAGAAACAGTTCATTAGTATTAGGGCAACATTTTTGGGTTTGTAAATTAAGTAATCAAACCATGGTGATTAATGAAAAAGCAGCAGCAAATTGAAACACATGCGATCTCAATGATGGAAGATAAGAACGAAATTTTACGCATTGTATATATCCCAATGAGTCAATCAAAGTTAATTCACTGTCACCCACTAACCACTGAACTGAAAACAACTCAGTCTTTTTCCGATTTTGGAGCATGCAGTCAGTTAAAAAAAAAAAAAAGATTTAAACAGTCGAAATAAACCGAACACTCAACAACCATTCTTGGTCTAATAAAAAAATCCGTGCGCAGATTGTAATAATTATATAGAAAACACCTCTTTATATTTGTGGCATATGTACGAAAAGTCGAGACTTTAGTTTTTTTGGAAATCAGAAGCACATGTAAAAAAATCAGGACATTTCGAGGCTAAGTTTCGGTGTAATGAGGTTGACAAGTTGTCCATTTGGTGTTGTCCGGACTATAGATAGTGTACTAAGTAGCATACACATAAAAGAAGGAGGAGAGATACGGGCGATAGAAGGTTTAAGTGTGTCTATTTTTTATTGTTGAGAGTTAATGAGAGAGAGAGAGACAGAGACAGAGACAGAGACAGACACACACACACACACACACAGAGAAGAGAGAGAGAGAGAGAGAGAGAGAGAGAGAGAGAGAGAGA